TGGTATTGCAAAGTGGTTTTCAAAATGGGTTGTTTTACAGAGGGGTTCCTGGCTCATAGATATGATAGGTTAGGCTCTGATACCGTATAAAAAAAAATTGATTATGGTTTTCATAATCAGTTGATGTTACAATCGGAGCGATTTATGCATAAAAGAAGGTAGGTACATGCACTCTACAAACACAAGATACAATTTTATGCAATTTTAGTATACAAATGTCTTGTGCGGTTGCTATTGATGTTTGCAGGTTGCTATATGCGTTCATCCTGTCGAGTTAAACATCCATTAAGTTGCCACGGTACAAGTTACAAGACTTATATGAGAGAAATACCACTAGGAACAAGGCATTTCTAAACAGGAAGTTGATGAGCCTGAGGCTCACATATGGAGCTTATATTTGCAACAAATATTACATCTAGGTTAATCATATGGAGCTTATATTTGCAACAAATATTACATCTAGGTTGATCAAGTTCTCAATGCTTCTCCTTATCTATCAACCCCAAAGTTTCAAATTGTGGTGACTATAAACAAGCTTATGAAGCCTTTGCAACGTCAGTAGATTCCTCTTAGGCGTATGCATCCATTGAAAGATACTCTACTTTTGCTCACATCCAATCACTAAATATTTTTAAGAGGGAAGTTTGATAACGATCCATCTCAAGTGAGGTGCGTCCCAATTATAACACTCCCATCATTCAGCTTAAATGAGATGCAAAGGGCTTTGTAAGAAAAGAGCTAAAATATTTTATGCGGTGGATGACGTGAAAGAAAATGTAATTAGATGAGAGATAACCTGAATCCATCAAACTGTGAGAAGTCTTAGCAAGTCTAGTTGTGAATAAACCTCCTGCATCCCTATCCATAAAAAGCTAGTAAAAATGTTGTGTTTGACTGCTTTGATTAAACATCATAAATGCACAATATACCCATAGAAGTAGTGTAGCGAAGATGAGGATGTTGAGACGGATGAGTGACAAGACAAGAAGGGATAGAATTCGAAATGTATCTCTTCGAGAGAATTTAGGTGTGACATCAATAAATGATAAAATGAGAGAGAGTAGATTTAGTTGGGCTGGCCATGTATGGCACTGACCAAATACAATACCTGTTAGGAGCTACAAGTTAGTTTAAGTAGAAGGATTGATAAGGGTAAGGGGTAGACCCAAAAATATGTGGTTGGAAATAGTCCGAAATTATATGAGGATTTATGGCCTCACTGAGGATATGACTTTTAATAGAGCAGAATAGAGAACCAAAATTCATGTAGCCGACCCCAATTAATTGAGAAAAGGCTAAAATGATGATGGTGAAATGCATTAGACATTTTAATTCATGCATCAAAGATTAGCTCTTACCTCCCTTAATGTTGCTATTTGGCTTTTATGGCTTCCCTCCAGTATTTCTCACCTCTTCCAAAATTTTGTTGGTAATAACATGGGTCAAATAGAAATATTCGGGGTTGAAGTAGAAACCTGGACAATAAAGACGGATATACCATTTAAATTCACATTGACGAAACTATTTAATAATTGACATTTTAAGCATATAAATAAGCATTTTCTTGAATCGAGTGGCCTAATTGAGTGTTCCACCTTTTCTCTATGGTCATGTTTACGCAGGAATTTGGATTGATCTTTGAGCAAGATCAACTCAAATTTCTTACCAAAGAGTTAAATTTTGAATCAATAGAGAGAGGGGGGGTTGCTCAAATTATAGATTTAGAAGCAACACATATCTTGCAGATTCAGTCTTCCTTTACATCTACCAGCAGCGCTAGCTTTAGAATCCGTTTACTAGACCTTAAAAAGCTTTTAAAATCTAACTAATTTTTTAAAGAGTAAAAGTAAACAAAAAATTAAAAAATATAATCTAAAAATTAAGGAAATAATGATTTAAAAGAAAATAAAGAGACATTACTTATCTTGAGAATCGGAAACTTGGAGTTTCGAGCTTGGATTAGCCTACTTTTGTGCCACCATCTCCTCTTCTTAATGCCTTTGGCTGCTGCATTATCTGGATTTTGGGTTGATTTCCTTAGATTTGGTGATTCTAGGGTGTGAAGAAGGCTTAGGTTTTCTACATGTGGGTTTCCCTAATTATTTCTAAGGAGATGGATTGCTATGGTTTTGGGATTTCTTATAGTTTTTAACGGATTTTAGGAACAAATATGCCACAAAGCCTGAACGCTTCCAAGCTAGATACATGTAAATATGTTATTTTTTCAAACAAACCAAAGCTTTGATCTTGGAGAAGGCTCTACAGTGATCATTTAGAACAAAATTTCAATGAAATTGCATAAAAAATGGAGATATTTGAGGTTTGGCTGATTCCTCAAAAGCTTCAAGAAAAAAAAATCACACAGAAAATTTAAGGAAAATTGTCTCATGCGAGCTGGACCACATGACTACATATGCGGTTTAAAAAGCGAAAAGCATCCATCTTAAAGATGGATGCAAGTAGGTGTTCCATCTAAAAACAATAGAAGCTAACAGTCCAAATCTTTTCTTACTAGAATTATTATTTCTAGCCTTTAAAATTTATTTATTTTTTCATATTCATGATCTCCATGTTAGAGATCACATGTCCTTAAAAATTAAACAAAAATATCCATTGCATAGAAACCAGGTCCAAAATTTAATGATCTTGAGAATGAAAGTTCTCCATCGACAAGGGTTCTTATAGTATCTGAACAATAATTTGAGTCAATTACTGGTATGGAAAAAGCTCAAAACGGCTGAAAAAAAGAGGATAAAGTTTTCTCTAAAAAATCCTAGAACGAATAATTCAGGGAATCGTATGTTCCTACTACAATGAATTGCCAGTTCACTACAGGCGATTCATTTCCAAACCCAACCAGCTCCTGATGTACTCAGGGATCTGGTTCAGTTGGGTATTATTTTCGAGTCGAATCGTGTGATTTCGATCTCCTTGTATGTTTTCATAACACTGGGATTGTTCAAAAATTTGTAATATTACATTTCTAAGCATTTGCCTTATGATTATTGCGTAGTGCATTACAATTTCCCATCGGCGAAAGCACATGACACTGAGTTTCATGACCACCTAATTCGACTGAATAGTCATATTCGACAAATAGTTTATGCAACATTCGACACTGTTTTTTAGGGCCGTCTATCCTTAAAGCATACTTTCCTTTTTTTTTAAATCTATTTTTTCACTACTTTTTTTTTTGAAAATTCTTAGGATGATGCAACAATCTATTTTTACCTCTATTATAAAACTTTAAACTTCAAAAATGGTTCAAATCAAGTAGATCTACAGCCGTATGAAAATTTTGAAAATAGATGGTCCAAACAATGTGTTGCGAGATGTACTATTTTTAAGACTTAAAAATCTTTTTTTTCCATATTGATATATATCAATATCAATATGATCAATTAGATATTTTTCCAACATCAAAACAACCTTTTTTAAAGGATTTTAGAGCACCTTAGTTCTACATTTAAAGCATCAACCTTATATAAATTTTCTCCTTTATATAATGCCAAAAAGTATTGTACTTCTATGGGAGTAGAATTTTCATTCTCTCTCAGGTAAAACCCTACCTAAAGTTCATTTTATTATTTTAAATTGGATGCAGTTTGTATAAGGCTACAACCTCAATCATAGAAAATAAGGTTGCGGTGTTTTACATTGTTCATTTTAGTTGGACAATGTAGATTTGATATGCTTTTTAAAGTAGTATCAAAAGGTGGCACATCTTTTAAAACAACATCAAATCTACACCATTCAAACAAAATAGATGGTATAGATGAATGCAACTTTACTTTTACATTTAAGGTTGCATCCTCATATAAACTTTTACTTTCTAAATTTTAGGGATGCAATCTCTTTAACTCATAGATTAACCTAAATAAAATTTTTTCTTAAGTGTACCCTCACATACACTTAAAAAAATAATGTATGGGATTGGATAGAGACCATTCAATTTTTAGACGGTGAGATCTAAAAAAACTAAAATTTCAAAAAAAGTTTAGTATAATTATCCAGTAATTCTAAATTAGCTCCCAAAATTTCACATGCCTTCCAATCGAGGGAGTAGAAGTAAGTTTTGCACCTGAAGCAACATAGTATAAATCCTCTTTAAATATAAAATAAAAATGGAAATAAAAATAAAAAAGGCATGAATTGATTTTCATTTGCCGTAGTTTGGTCTAATTTTTTTTTGAAAATATAAATAGTGAGACCATTTACTTTTGATATAAGGAGGTCACAATTATCATTGACTGTTAGATTTCATTAAGTGGCTAAAAATATGTCATTATTTAGGCACAAAATCCAAAATAACTTTTGTCAAATACTGTGGCACTTATATTTATCAAAAGTCATTGTGATCTCCATATTAAAAAAAAAAATGGCGTTATAAGTATAGAAAAAGTTGATATAAGGCTAAGGCTTTAAGCAATCAAATTAAGGTATAGTTTAAAAATTAACTATAAGAGGTTGTTTTGATGCAGAAAAACCCACATATCAATCATCACGATGTTGAGATGTATAGATAGGAAAAAAAGAAAAAGATTTGGCATTTGGAAAAAGGTGCAGTTTGTATAGAGTTGAGGCTCTAAACAATCAAAGTAGAACACACCTTCAAATAATGTTGAGAAATGTGGTTCAATACTAAAAATCGTTTTTATAGCTTTAAAATATATTTTCATCTCTAATTATAAAATTTAAAGTTTGAATAATAGTGTAGATCAAACGGATCTATGAAAACTTGAAAATATTGAAAATTGACGATAAAAACCGCATTACAAGAAGCTCTATTTTCAATACTTGAAATCAAAATTTTTTTTTCGCATGTCCTTGCATCTTATGTCGATTTGAGGATATTTGGCCTCTTAAGGTGAAAGTTTTGAGGTGCGCTCTAATATGATTGTTTAAGGCCTCAGCTCTATATAAATTTTTTTCCTTTGAATCACTGCCCATCTGTCTCTCTCTAAAATTCCTTGTTCTCTCTGGCCATCTGTCTCTCTCTCTATCCCGCCGCCCACAGATCTTTCTCTCTTCTCTGGTAAGCGCATGCCAGCAACTACATTTAACCGCTCTAAATATCTACAAATTGATGGAATTCATGGGATTATCCCCATCTGATTAGATTTAGGTTCCATTTGCCCGCCCCCAATTCATGGAGATTTAGTTCTTGTATGCCTTTTCTGAATCATCAGGTTTTTATTTTGGAGGGATAGCAATGCGCAGGAGAGCTGAACCCTATGGAGAGTCTCTGCTAACTAAGGCGGTGAAAGCAGTTTTCGCATTTGTTAAATTGGCGGAGTTCGAAATTCTCTTTGTTCTCTTCTTTCTCATCGCCTATATCATCTTCAAAGATCTAGTAAGTTATCCGTATTGCCTTTGAAATCAGTTTACAATGATGGAATTAATTCTCTGGTTATGGAGTTTCTTGCTTTTATTTCTATGTATTTACATTTGATTTCTCTGGTTATGAAATTTCTTCCTTTTATTTCTATGTATTTGGTTTTAGTGGGAGCTGGTTGTGAGTATTTTCAAGTGTCTTGCGTTTTTCTTTTTTTGATAGTTATGATTTTTTGCTAATGATTTCCCAATGTAATTTTTTGTCCATGGATTAAACATATATATTTTATTGGTTATTGTAAAGTTTAATGAATCTATTGATGAATTACTGGAGAGATACCCTTGTACTATGAGTAATAGTTGCAAACTAATGTTTGAAATGACATCAAATTTCTTTATGTCCAGTGAGGAGTTGTTAAGTTCAACCTGGTTACTATTTTTTCAGATGTGGTTAGAACTCGAATTGCTTGTTGACTATTGGGACTCTGAATATACTTAAAACATGAGTTGAAATGTGTTTTTCATCGCAGCAATGCTTGAATTTCTTTGGAGATTTTGGAAAAATTTGGGTTTTTTTGGAAACCTCTGAAAGGACTATTAAACATTGATTGGTTTCTAATACACGTGGATATCACCTGGATATGCTTTGGGGTTCCGGCTTTTGTCTGATCTTCATGGGATTGAGTCTCCTTTTGGAACATGGGAAGGATTGGGCTTCAATTTTACTGATATTAGTTTCTTGTTTGTTAAGGAGAGGATTGGGTTTCCATTTTGATAGGTACGAATAACTGTTGGGTACTTCGCTCATGAGTAACTGTGAACGGGGGACTCATGTAAAGAGTTCGTTGTTGAGAAATTTATGCATTTTCTCTTTGTAAGAAGGTGGCCCCTCGAAGTGGTTTCTCAGTTCCGATAAGTCCATCTTATTGGCTGTAAGTCTCTCTTTTAGGGATGTATTTTAGTGTTATCGTTCCACATAATTGATAGCGTCTTTCTTCTCTTGTGCTACTTATCTTAGTTTTGTCATTTTTCAAAAGATCCTTTTTCTTTTTCTTTTTTTTTTGGACAAGGTTACATAAGAACCCTGCTACTACTGTCTTGACCCAAGCCCGATTCCTGTTTTTAAAAAGATTATTTTAATAGTTCTAGTGATATCTCTTAATTATAGAATTTCGGGTTCTATGTATGGTGTTGTTTAAATGTATTACCTTGATAGAGCACCCGCATTGGAAATGCTCTCGATAGGCTTTATGTTACCTATGCCTGTCACATCAAAGATTAGGGATTAGATACTTATGGTGTTTTTCAATAATCAGAAAGAAGATAATCGTGGTGTTTCACTTTCCATGACTCTTGTTGAGTTTAGTTGCATCCATGAATAGTTAGGGAAGAAAGAGAAAAGTTCAAGAGAAAGCAAACTCATACAAGATTCCATGATTAAGAAAAGACTGATGTACAGTAAAGAGATGGTGAGGGAGAACGCTTGAGAATGATTTAGTGTCTTAACTGCTCCACCAGGGCCTATCCAATAATTCAATTCCTTTAGTCTTTGTCAATGTAATTCAAAGAAGCCACTTTGGCAAATCAAAAAGGTTCTATTGCTATAACTAGTTTCATCCTTTCTCGCCCTTTCCTGCAATTATCACTGGGAAGATCTTTTCTCAGTCGTTTATCAGATAGTTTTCCTCCTGCTACTAGGTTGGGTTTTCATTGACTTGATGGAGATGACTTAGGCAAGTTATTGATTGACATGGAATGGTTATTTTGTTCAATTGAGTGCCTGACATAAGCTCGACCTGGCAATCTTGAAAATAATGCCATAATATAATCATTTGATAAGGGTTTTGGGCCTTTAACTTAGCCGTGCTTTAGTCATGTTTTGTGCATTCTACCGGATCGTAACCAATTTGTTTATTCTGTTACCATATTTTATTGAACTACATAGGCCATGAATTCAAACTCAATTTGAAAGGTCGGCCAATCAAAGAATGGACATACTGAAAATGCCAAGTTCAGAAGCAATTGGCCTTGCCTGATGTCAAGGGGACAAACTATTGCCACAATATTGGACAAGTAAGCCTCATCTTAGTGAAGCTCCCATGGCCTAAATTACTTGAGATTCTGCAGTACCACCAATTGCCCCAAATCAGATATCTATCACTGAATAGGATACAACAATTGCTAACCTGATGGAAGCAATGCCATACTTTATTAATGGGGAGGACATTCAGAGATTATGGTTGATGAGAAACCTTCATGTTGTGATGAGGATCAAATGGGACTATCATTTCATTGTTGGAGCATTTGGATGCCTAAGAGAAACAATTCTGCAAAATTTGTGGCTTTAATAGATCGCTGCTGTGAGAGATCTCGCAATTTTTAGTTTCTTGAATTGCTGATGTTTTTGTTTAGGATTTCGGAAAGGAGCAAATGCTTTTTCGAAGTTCACATTTCCTCGTATCTTTGCTAGAAGGTCTCAAGGTTTTTGGATGCTGGTGGATGTGGTTTTGTGGATCTTTATGGCATTTTGGAAAGTGTGGAACCTTGCTATCTTGATTGTTTTTTTCTGGGTTCAATTATCTGAGTAACCATGCCTTAGAGCCATTATCATATTGCCTTTGGGTTCATAAATTTGGCTATCTCAAGAAATAAATGAGACACGTGGTTTGATGGAACACTTGATGTACTGCAGATGCCTTAAGGTGTGCTCTTCCTTCCACAGTTCTAGTGCCATTGATTAGATTATCCCTCTCTTACTTCTTGTTCTTCTCCACGAGTCCCTGGAGCTCAATTGGATGCCATGACTTAGCCTATCTTATACTGAATCTAACCTGTTGTCAAGAAAGAATGGTTCTAGTGCTACTGTTTCTGCCTCCGGGTCTACTTCAAGAAGCTTTTGACTCTCTAGTGTTGCAACCTGGCAAGTACTTCGTGCTATTTAAGCATCTACTTGGGAAGTATACCGTCTTATCCATCATGTTTAATAATAGATTTTGGTGCCTCAAAATTCATTTACTAGATAATTGCTGGTTTCCTGTTTCACAATTATCCCTTCTCAAGTAACCGACTTTTATGCATTTGATTGTATTATTTCTCTTTGACTTCACCAAAAACAAAATCTACATCCTATTCATTTGTAAATCTCTTGCATTTATGTTTTTTTCTTTTTTTTGTTTCAAGATGTCACCAAATGTTGTTTCAATTGTCTATTGATTGATTAAACCAATACTGTTCTGCCTCTCCATGATGTTTTCTTTCTCCCAATAATTCACTTTGTACTGATGGTTTGAAGTTTTCCATCTCTGCCTTAAAACCAGTTGCATGAATGCGTGAGACTACAAATTTGTCAATACAAAAATGTACAAACTGAACCATATGATGTATTTCCACTGTGTGGTCCTGTTTGCCGCAAAGAGTGCTTTGAAGTCTTCACAGGTAAATGCGAATGAATAAGCATAGCTTTCATGCAGTCGACCATGGTGTTTACTTGTAAAGTATGAGCTCCGGAAAGTTCTTTATTCTGCTCAACCCAAACTGACACTAGAATGGCCAGAACAGTTATTTGCCATAGTAATAGGGATGAAGTTCTGAAGCGGGGGGCAGCCAGCATCTAAATGGGCTATCCAAGGATATAGGGGTTACCCATTGCCATTCAAAGTGTTCTAGGAAGTATTCAAAATGTTTTAGGAAGTAATATCGGGATGCTTGAGAGTGTGGCCTTTATGAGAGTCATACAGCATCCCAGGGACACGAATCAGCATTTCCAGGAAGCCAATGTCCTCTCATATTTCTCAACTATATTATCCATTGGGCTTTCTTGGGTTTTTCTTTGCAAAGAGGAAGGCTCAAGTACTTGTTTGGCAATGTGTCAGTGCTGATCCCATCCAGTGTGCTAGGGCCTCTAGATCACCTCCTTGCAAGGCCAAATCCTTATTAATTTTGGGCATGTTTGCTTAGAGGGCATTTGTGATATCAAAGCACCTAAGGAACAGCCAGGGGGTGTCGATTTGCGGAATTGGGCAGCACAAAGCACCAAAGTATCATCCTCGTTCTGTAGTTGGACATGCAAGGTTTTGAGCTGTACTGAACCCCAAAAAGCATACACTCTTGAGATGGACCTTCTGAAACCATAAGCGAAGATGGTGAATTGGAAGTGCGCGAAGGGTTCGCCTTGGTGTTAACCCCTTGAAGATTGAAGAAATTATGCAGGCTACCATTAATAAGAATTGAGAATAGGCAATAAAGTTTTTTGTAGTGTTTCAACCTGGATGCTGATTGGGAGAGGCTACAAAGTTTAGATGGTTCCTTCAATACTAGTGTTATTTGGCTTCCCTGTCCTCTAAGCTCTCCAGGATTCTCAATCTAGTTTAACCCAACATGTGTGACATTGTGGTTTGGGTAGTCCTTGTTTTCAATATCCTCAATTCTTTTTGAGGACTGATCAGGTAGAACTCTCTTCTGGTTGATCTATTTTAGATCCCAGGCTAACACCGTTCATTGAATGGATGGCAATTGTTGAAGGCAGTGTTACCTACCACTTCAGTCATGTCATGTTCTGGTGGGTCTCACTCTCTCCATCACTGACCATTCATTAGGTAGAACCGGTTCTTACTGATCATTTCTCTTCTTGTTCTTCCGGCATACTTGCCATCTTGGACTTCAAGAATATTAGAACTGGAATGTCAGTTTTAAGATGGCAAAAAGTCTACTGTACCCTTCTATTTCATCTGGTAACAAAAATATTACTTGGTCTAACTCAATTATTGTGATGCTTGCAGGCCTTCTTCAGTAAGTTCAAAGCTGGCTTGCTTTATTTTAACTTTTGTTTTCTGATTTTTCTCGATTCACTGGGGTCCAGTTTCCAGTTGATGAAACACACTTGCGCACATCCACAGACACACACACTCATATGAACTTCATGAAACATGATTTGAATCATTAAAAACTTTTGTTGTGTTTCATAAATTGATCTGGACTGAGTGGGGAGAATGCGTTGAGGTTTAGGTTTTATTATGTCAG